ATTATTATTATGTATTTAAAAGAAATTTTTTAAAAATGTTGATTAGAACAAAAGTTATTTCATTTGTCAGAATGTAAGATCTCTGTGGGATACCCTGTATTGTTATTTATTATAGTATTGTCTTATTATAAGCTATACCGTATTGACACTAGTGACAGTTAATTTTAGAAAACTAGTTGTGTATAAAAGATTTTTAAGAATTTTGCTTGATGAACAAAATTATAGATATCTATTGCTATGCAATATTATAATATAATAGATTAATGATTGTTATCTTATAATTATCATATTCAAATTATATTATATTTTTTTTTTACATTTTTGACGCTTATATCCTACTAATTTTGACGCAAGTGATATGCATTCTAATATCTTTGGCGTTGATATCATAGGTAATAATAACCGTTACCACACAGATATCTTACTTACCACCAAAAACATAACTAAAACAGTTTATAAATGAATCGATTCAAATTTAATTTATTTCAACACATGTGGCAAAATAACAGTGTAATCATCAATGAAACAGACAAGAGTGAACTGTGCGGATAATATAATCCAATACCTATATCTGACGTAGGAAATAACGTTATTAACTATTTTCCGTTATGTGAAACAATACTTTGTACGTGTAATATTCAGTCCAGTGAATATAATATTAATATAGTCTAAACACCCTTCGAACGTAGATAAAACAATACACGTGTGTGTGGCTGTGTAGATTCGTTAGTCATTGTTGTCGTTTTACCCGGATTATTATCTTTGGCGGCAACAAAATAAACRTGATGGTATATGGCACACACTAGGCACACGTCACACACTCTCTCTCACACACGCAAAAACCGTTTTCAATTACAAAATACCAATTACGTGGGTTAAACTACTTTGTAATTATGAGGGTAGTCCTTTGAGCGAAAAATACACGTGTCCCCATCGTAAACTCGTTAAAAACTAATCACATTTTTTTTTTTGTTAGGTTATTCGAAAATCATCAGTTGCGTATATTGAAAATATTTCTTGACTCGAAAATAATACCATGGTATAAAATTTCAAGTATATCAAAATTGTGTTATAAAAAATGCGTAGAAATAATTTCTGGTGAAAGCTGATCTTGTCGTGCTGCATATTTTTCATGCAGATTGCGGTTTATTTTATAATATGACAGTAATRCAGGGTAATAACTACGATAGCGATTTAAAGGATGAATGAATTTAACATGATGCACCTATAAAAATAAAAATTACGTCAGTGCCATCACCTTTGATGAGTGTTGAATCTCAAAATGTACCTATTAACTGTTACATTTTTCTGTTGTTTACATAGGTTACCAATAAATATCCTTAAAATATGTTCGAAATTTGAATCGTGTTTCTGGGTCGAGAGATTTTCATTACTTTACAATAGGTTTTAGATAATAATATTTAGGCACCATTAGCGATGGAACTTATGAAATAATAAGATTGTTAAATCATTGTAAAAACATAATAAATACAGTGACACAGTGCTACTACGTATTGATCGATGGTGATTTCATTCCGGATTATCGATTTTTGTCCGAACAGGTCACTGGATTCCGTGAAGTCGGTGGTCACCGTGGACGATGGGGACAATGACGAGAGCAATGATGGCATCGCCGCACAGACGACCACCGCGTCGATGACGTCGACTACGACGACTACGACGACGACGACCACAGCCAAGCCAAAGGCTTACAGGAACAGGTACAGGGGTAACAGGGGTGGCGGCGGCGAAGAGGAGTACAAAAAGTACGCGGTGACCGCCACTAGCGTAGTGTCCCTGAAGGACGCCGAGGAGTACCGGAACAGCAAGCCGCATCAGCACCAGCGCCGGCGGAACACCATCGACGTGGAGTGTCGGTTGCGCGTGCCCGGCGACGGTGCCGGCAATGGCCACTGGAAAGCTGACCGGCCGGCCGACCATTACTACTCTGCCCGAAAGTCGGTGGCGTACAAGTACCGTAACGACTTGACGCCGCCCGGTGACGCGTTCGCCGCCGTGTCTTCAGCGTCGTCTGTAGCCGACGACGACGACGACGCCGACAACTACGAAAATGGTGGTGGCCGCGTTGACAGCGATGACGCCCTAAACTCCCAAAACTCCGACGACGACGCTACTTCCGGAGCCACTAGCGTCACACCGTCCTTCTCCGCCGTCGTCGTCCGATTGATGCAGACGATCGCTGCTGTAGCCGTCGTTACCGCCACCGCCGCCGCCGCCCGACATTAAACCACGTGATGCGAAGACTTCGCTCCTGTCCCGACCGCCTCCGACCCCATCACGTGAAATGGTATTAGTCATAGTATTATTATAATAATATGATAACATTGTAATATCATATGATGTAGTGACACTGCAAAGTGTTACCTAATTTCTCGCCTGTTTTCATTTTAATTTCGAACCAACGAAATGGTAAGCTCCGGTTAACCACTACTACCCATATAGGTTAGGGTCCACTTGTCACCATATCGTTTATTATTAAAGTATGTCTGCGATGTTGTTGTCCTCAGATCGCCGCTGACGGGATGCTTAGAATTCACTTTGTTTCTCTTGCGCATGGGCTGCTAAGTATACCATAAGGTTGTCCTCGGACAACATCCAATCCGACCAACCAGCGATTAGATATCCTACGCCTGGTTTACCGCACATCATGCTGTCAATCATTTCATATCCGAGAGCAGAACGTGCTCCGGTGCTTAGTCTTACCCTCTGTGTACCGGAACCTTTTGTCGTATTCATTACATTCGATTTTCCTCCTACTATAACCCATCCTACAATATTATTGCTCGGACTTTGTATGTTATGCTGGATTTAACTCGTTATAATTTCATATAATACGTAATTATAATCGACAAAACTTTTGAATTGCTGATTTGGGATAGTTCCATAGAAATTGTGTTTTGTTTTTATCGTGGCTGCTTTAGAAAACCAATCGGGTAATCGTTTTTTCATTTGAAAAAAAAAACAAACAAAATAGATTCAGTTTTTAGTTAAAACATTTTAAAATTATTCTTTCAAATATATTATACAGCAATATATAATAGTATGATTGATAACATGTAGATGATAATTTTTTAATACAGTTAAAATGTGTACCTACCTATATATAATAAATAACGAAAAAAATATTTAAAAGAAAAACCACAATATTGTAAGTTTTTTTAGAATCGAAAACCACTATATAAATGATCCGAGCACAGCTTTGGCGTATGACATCCAAAACGATTTTTATTAACCGCAAAAATATTACCTCATAAAATGAGTTTTAATATCTTATATTTGAAAAAAAAAATAAAAATCTTAAAGGTTATTTTAAATGAGAATATGTATCGAAGCGACTATATCTGTCTTATTAGAATTTTTGTGAGATACGCTTATACGCAGTTAAAACGCAGAAATCCAATTTATAGAATTCCGCCGTGTAGGTGGTTTTAATATGATTTCGTTTCGATTTTCAGTTTGAAAACAATTAATTTAGTGAGTATAAATCAATCATCATCAGGAACTAATTTAATCATATAGACTATAGCCATAGTAATTATTTAGAAAACACGATTTAATCACACTTCGTTTTTGATTGTGACTAGGTAATGACTTGTAAAATAATATCGTAGTTCATCGGAAATAGCTATGTATACGTGTTGCGCATTCATCTTAATTCTATTGATACATAGTGATATCTACAAAAGAGTATGATTGTCCGATTTAAATATACAATAACTGGCAAAAGGTCCGTCGAAAATCGTCTATTCTAAGTTATGTTGAACCGCCCAGATTTGTTTGAAGCGTTTCCGCTTTACCTGAAAAAATTGTTTTATTTGAATTTTCTATATCCAATATTTAACAGGTCTAACGATATTTCTTAAAATTTTATATTCTTTGTATAAAAATTAAAACCAACCGAATTTTTACATAAAATTATACATGCATCGAATTGAATCCTTCAACATTCGACAAACATATATTTCAGCGTAATGTTCTTTAATGACGAGAATTTTAAATAAATATAATATATTACATACCTATAATTATTCATATTTTTACAGATATCATACACCTAACTCCATCATTCAACTCAAAAGTGTTTACTCACAAATAATTTGTTTATATTTTGTGGTTTTTGAACAACATTATTACTGGTAACAAGTCGATTTAATGACGTCCGTAGACACGTGTTAAAATTCATTACCGTCATAAAGTTATAATAAATGTATAATTAATTAAAATTATAACGATCATTGTATATGTGTGCTTACAAAATATCGAAACGCGATCAAAACTGTCAACTGCAGATGAAGTTGTAAAATGGTTATCACATTTTTATTCCCCTCGGCAGGGAGAATTCAAATAGCGTTTGTATAATTAATATAAAATGTATATTTAATATAATAATATATACTTTCGTCTTGATTGCACATACTCCGTTTTTGCATGGCATAACTATAAATATACTATTTTTCACTAGTCGATTATTCTTATTATACTTATGTAATATGTTTAAATTATGTACAATTTTTCTTATTAAATCACGTTTTACTGGTATAATGATATATTATAGTCACCACAATTTTAATTTTACYAATACATAAACGATATTACTATCCACCTATATAGTCTGTGTCAATATATTAAAACCAATATAAAACCAATCTCTAATTAATCATTTTTATGCGTGTTGACATTTTGCAGATGTCTTAAAGTATTTATGTTTTCCTCCCCGCAGCTTTATTTTATTATATTTAATTATTTTTACTATTATTATTATTTGTTGTAAATATGTAATTTTTAACACTACCATCACTATTATATACACATTTCTAGTCTATAATTATGTAGTGAAAAATTAAAAATCGATTTTTAAATTTAGTTWAGCTAAAATTTAAGGAAATTTTGTGTTGATATTATAATCATTTATTGTAGTGGGACACTACTATACTATAATATTATATTACTACTATAAGTCGTGTTTGTTTGTTGAATTATTTTTATGATTAATTTTTGATTTCTCGGGTTCGTTGTCTTAAACACCAAACGAGATATTATAAATGTTTATTGTTATTACTTACTTATTACGTATATCCTATAAAATATTTATTATACTAATACCTACGAAATACGCATTTTTTATTATATAGAATCTACAAGGCTAGACATACCAAAGAATAATGATACATTTTATTGTATTGTACTACGCTCTATTATAGAATATTATTTATGTGTAATAATATTATATGATATCTTCATAGAAGCTTATTGTATTATACATCACATTTTCAATGTTTAAACATAATTTCAGTTAGTAGAGTTAAATATAATTATACACATATATACATTTTACACTTAAAAACTTAGTTTTAATATAGCGACGCAATAACATAATAAAATAGTTATACTAAAAATATATATTATACTGTCTTATTATTGTAATCGATATTCAACGTATGTGTGTTTTATAAATTAATAAGATTAAAAGAAAAAACATAACTTCATTTATTGTCTTCTTCTGTAAAACAATAATAATAATATTGTTTGGATATAATAACTATATTATAAACCTGTTAATCGTTTTATTATATTTT